GAATGTAAACGGACAGTCCAGGGATGCTGAAGAAATGGGGCACATACCAAGGAGACTTGGTCGAGAAATAACCTCCTGCTTCTGGACTCTTCTAATCATTTAATGGAACAAGTACCAATTTCAGCAGACCTGATAGAGTCTGCGATGAAACGGGCTAATTTGCTCATCTGCTGGGGCTTTCTCATCCCTGGGAGAGCTGCAGCCCTGGATGAGCACACTGCAGGGCCGCTGGGGTGGAGCCACAAGCAAGCGGAGATGGTCATGGCCTCAGGACGGTGGTTCAGAACACCGAACCTGGCTTCTAGACCTTGGTTTGTGAAATAACTGAAGAACCTCTAGCAAGTTGCTTAACTTCTTCAAGTTTGTTTCGTCAGCTCTACGGTTCACTTAATACCTCTTCCCAAGATTGTCAAAGGAATTAGAAAGAAGGCATGCGGAGTCCTTTTGCAAAAGCCTGTGGGCACTTGGCCACTTTAGCTGTTAGTATTGTCATTATTGCTTGGTCTTTGATTTTGGAAAGGGAAGGTTACCCCAAGCCTACCAGAGGAAGAGCATTCCAGGCTGCAATTCAAGGCAGGAATAGGATCTTCTCAACGTTTCTTGTTGGCAGGTAGCACAGGATTGGCAGGAAGGTGTTCAGGAAGTGTTTAGTGAAAAGAACTGCATGACCTTGAGCAACTTACTCAAAGAGCATCCTGTTTTCTCACCACCCCCCACCCCCCGCCAGAGAAAGCTTTCACTCATGGGAAGCTGTGAGAATCTGGGAGCACCTACAATGGTGCTTGTGCAAAGAGCATCAAGAAAGACCAATCAAAACCGTAGTTTGCTGTACCCAGACACTAAGAACTCAGAAAATTCATTCAAGGGCACAGGCAGTTGCCGGGTTAATATCTTCTGTTGGGTACTTCCAGATGGAGATGGTGCCTCTTGTTGTTGCCTGCAGGAGTTGAGAAGATACACTCTCCTCCTGATTACCTTGTCACACCATTGATGGGATTTGAGAATTACTTTGGGGCCTTCCACTCCAATTGAATTACAGAGATTTAATTTCAGTGGTGTTAAAGAGGAAAGACAAAGTTAACAGGCATTAAATTAAAACCATGCACTTTTGCCAAGACATCCCTACCCCCACCTGGCCCCGGGGACTTCCTTCCTTCCTCTAGTCCCCAAAGAGATTAACGCTCTTTACCAGATTTTCTAAACTGAAACAGAGCAGCCCTTCTTATCTCAGTGCTTCCACGAGGTGCAGATGAGAACAGAGCAGAACCCCAAGAAAATACCAGCTCTGCTGGGCGGTGGGGGGTGGGGGGTGGGTCGGGTGAGCTCAGTTGCCACAAGCATGGGGTTGCCCCATAATATCCTACCTCAACTGTGTGTCTGCCATCAGTTCCTGGGCTGCTCGATTTCTGAGCCTTCACACGCTCCTCCTTGGTGTGCTTTGCAGCCCTGTCATTTCCCAAAATCCTACTCCTGGAAAAGGATTAGCAAAATTACACAGTGTTGCTGCTACTTAACATTCAGGAAACGCAGCACACACACAAGTTACCAATCATGCCCACCAGATGGCAAATGTAGCTCTTTTCACCAGAAAGTGAGCAGCGAACATTCAAATTCATCACCAATACAACATTTAAATGCACATCCATTTTCAATTTGATTTCTTTGATGGGTTGGTATAATGAAAAGCAATATTTTATCCCTATATTGTTAACTCTTTGTAACAGTTACAATAATGCAGACTTGAGATTTTTTAAAAGTTGTCCTTAAACAAATCTCACTATAACTTGCAATTTTGATACACGCTGTACCTATCTGTTTTTAGTACCTCAGAGTTCTGTATTCAGAATGGGCTAATGGGAATGGCACAGGGTAGGAAGACTAAGAATCTAGCAGCTGATGTTGGGGTCTGTGTATTTTTTTTAACACCACTCCTTAAGTTTAGTGGTTACCTTTTATTAGTTTCTAAAAAACTTGAAGATCGATTAGTCTCTCTTATTGGACTGTATTACGAGACAGGAGCTGAGAGCCAGGGAGCCCTGTCTCCTGAGTCTCAAGTATAAATTTCTGCCCATCTAATGTTCCCTAAAGTTCTCAGAGTTTTGGCCTTGGCTGGTTATCAACTAATTAAATGGCATCCCTGGCTCATTCCGTTTCTCTGCACTTAAGAGTGAAGAGTGGTTGTTATGAGCTGATTGTGTACTTCCCCCAAAATCCATGTTGAAGTCCTAACCTCTAGGACCTCAGGTTGTGACTGTGTTTGGAGATAGGACCTTTGAGAAGGTAATTAAGGTAAAATGAGGTCATATGAATGGGCCTGAATTCAATATGACTGGTGTCCGTATAAGAAGAGACTAGGACACAGACAACACACAGGGGGCGACCATGTAAGGACACAGCAAGGCAGCTGTCTACAAGCCAAGAGGCTTCAGAAGAAACCAAACCTGTTGACACCTTGATTTTGGATTTAGGCTCCAAAGATGTTAGAAAATAAATTTCCCTTGCTTAAGCCCCTTAGTCTGTGGTATTTTGTTACGGCAGCCCTAGGAAATACGGTGGTCCAGACTGGAGGAAAATGTATGTAATGTAGAATTTACATTATACATTTCTCTGTAACACAGACACTGTGTTATTAATCAGGGCTTGTTATTCTAAGTAACGGAAATCAAATCCAGCCAACTTAAGCACACATAAGGAATGCATCCTAAGGATACAGTGGTAGCTCGTGACACTGGAGGGACGCAGCTGGCCTCAGAAATGCACTGGATCCAGGGCCTGGAGCGCTGTCAAGATTCTGTTTTCATCTCTGCTTTTCATGGTGTATCTGCTTCAGTTTTCTAATCTATCCCAATTTCGGATTCCTGGGGAAGAGACTCACTGGCCCAGCTTGAGTGAGGGACTCACCCCTCGCCCCGTGGTCCTGCTAAGAGGCGGCAGGGTCACAGGGCACACATCAGCTGTCAGGGCCCTGCGGGGAGGAGGCATTCTCAGGAAAGAAGAGCTCATCAGACTGTGGAATAAGTCCTCCATGCCAGGGAGGGTCTGTCCCCTCTCAAGGGCAATGGGGAGGCAAATATCTGAGGTTTCGTGTGCTACAGCAGAATGGCCAGTGTGTTAACAGTTTGGTTATAAACAGCAAAATCAAAGCAAGAGCAGACTGAGACCTCATCCAGACCCAGAACTGCTTGCAACCTATGGCTGTTTCCCAACTGAGGAGAGACAAAAAAGAGACACCAAGGATGTTGACAAAATATGTGCACCCATCAGCTAGAAGTTGGTGACCCATTGAAATTCCATTATACAAATGGTGCAGAATGCTTATAAACCCCAAAAGTAATGTGCAAGGAAACACAACATAAACCCAGACTGGTCTCTGGTTTTATATGCATTTGGGGAGCCTATATCATTACTCTCGGAGAAGAAGAGGGGGAAAAGGATTAAACAATGCTTACTGATCTGGAGAAGACACAAGTATAGAAAATACAGGAAGGACAAACTTCCAAATAAATCAAAATCAGACAAAAATGGTGACCAGTCTGAATGAGCCTGGGAAAGGGCACCCTGACAGCTGCCATGCACCCTGTTTTTGCTCCTGTTACCCCCTCCTCTTCTTCTACCTGGTCCCCAGGCCCGAAGGCCCCACTTAGGCTCTGTCTCCTCCACAATACATTCCCTGACAACCACACGATTTGGCATTTTCTCTTTCTGAAACTGTTCTGTGGACACTGTGTCCCCATGTACCTGACACCTCCTAGGGGTGAGGCCCACGTGACAGGCTCTTCCCCACTTTGTCTTACAGGGCCTCATACACCTCTCGTGAACATCTGTTGCCTGACTAGTTGTCACCGGTTGAACAGAAAATGGTCAGAAATCCATTTGCTGGGCACACACACACACACACACACACCAAAAAAAAACCAGATTAGAGAAGGAACAAATATTCAGGTATATTCCTTTGAAGATAAAAACTTTATTTTACAATTTTATAAAGCAGCTTTACATGAAGCACAAACAATCCATTTACTTTGTATAGAAACAAAATACCTTTCCATCTGCAAAAAATCAAGTTTTGCTGTATAGAAAACTAGCATGTGCACATTGTGCTTAAACCGCAAAGTCTGTACAGCTTTACAAAGGACCACCCTTCAGCAGGGCATCCAGTAAACACTTTATTGCATATTTGACACATGGTCTCTAACCCACATGTGCAACGGAGGAGAAACAAGAACAACAACTGCAACAAGGAAGAAAACAGCAGCTTTCAGCCAGAGTCCGCACCTGGCGGAGGAAAGGACTGCCACATCTGGAGAGCTGTGCTTGTGCCGTTTCTGTATCTGCTCACGTACACTGGATGGTTTTTGGATGAAGCCTTTATGTACAACAATCCCAAAGGGTCAAACTTGACCTTCATCTGGAAACTTTGGGCTGGCTTTACAACTGAAGTGGCAACAGATTTAATTTGACATCAAAGCTAACTCAAGTGTGAAAAACGAATACCCATTATCTGGAAACAAAGAAAAATTTAAAGAAACAAAGCAAAATAAAACTTTAAAATGCCTTCCCCATTCTCTCTACACTCAGAATAAGTAAACATTTTGCATGATTTAAAAACCTATAAAGAACGCTGTAGGTGTTTCGGAACAAAAATGCGATTGATGGTCTTGGGCAGTGTTCTTCCACGTCTGCCCCGCAGATCACCTGCACCAGGAAGATCCGAATGCTTGTTAAAAACGCAGACTATCCTGCTTCCCGGGCAGACTTAGTGACTGTCGGCCTCTGTAGCTCAGGAAGCTCCCAGGTGACTCGGAGGCACCCGAAAGCTGGAGAACCACTGGTATACGCTGGCGGAGCTGCCACAGGTTCAACTCACCCTCTTAGAAAAATCTGGGATCACAAGAAAAATCAAGTTGCTGTTGCAACGTGGAAGGCAGTGTGAAACCAACAGCAGTGAAACAGCAATGTCATTTCTAGATCAAAATGTCTTTCCTTTTTCAGTGGACAAGGACAGCCACATTGTTAAGGCACTGATATTTGTCTCGGAAGCAGTACCGTGCTGTTTTCGTGGATTCCCTTAGTCTGAAGGACCAGTATGCAAACACAAGGCAGAAGTCTGGACTGCTCTCAGTAATAACAAGTGAGATGAAGGGCAAAGGGTTTCCCGATCGGAGAAAGTTTATGTTGGGGCACTGAAATAAAAAAAGGAGTCCAGATATTCTTGTGGAGACATCTGATCATGTCTAAGAACGATAAAGGTCAAAAGCCAGGGGGAAGCTTAATAACCCACAACTGTCGTGTTGTGGGAGGAAGAGAGTTGTGGTCACGTCACGTGGGAGTTTAAGCTTCCTTCTCCGTGGCCGGTTTACTACTGTCTTCAGTGTACATCTATATTGTCTTCTCTGCTCCTGCTCCCTTTGCCACTAATATATATATTTTGCATGTTTATTCTATTCATAGATGTGTATATAGTTTCTGGTTTCTAAGTAGTGTCAGGAGGCTGAGTTTGATTTCAGATGCAGTATGTAGGCAAGCGCCCACGTGGCTCTTGATGTGCATTTAATACAGGTCACAGACAAACTGCGATGTGTTTGTCAGACTCAGTCTCCTGAAAGTGTGGGGTCTCATATTTCAATCTGTATAAGTTACAGTATTCATTTAGCGTACTGTCATACATTCAACAAAAACAACAAAATCAACCTCGCTTGATTTTGATAATGCCTAAAGCCCTATAGCAGACACTGCCCAGGGTACAAGGGTTGTGAAACCTATTTATGTGAGGTAGGGTACAGTGGGATAGAAAACCCAAATAAAGGTCTGGTTACACATGCACAGCAAACGTGGTAGCATTAATCACTTCTATCCAAGAGCTGAAATAATTTAAAATTAAAATTGCAAAGGAAAAACACTCATGTGCAGAGTCAATGGTCTGGAAAGTTGATGACCAAGAATGATCCAAAAGTAAGGAAAAAACCTGCCATGATTCTTGTATGTAATATCTGACGTAGTATTTTTCTTTAAAGAGGGGGAAAAAAAAATCCTGAAATGGTAGTGGGAATGGATTAGCCCCTTCCTCCAATAAAATTTCCACAATGTCCCAAAAATGTCCCCCTAAATAGACAAAACTCTCAAGTATAGTCTGAAATGAAATACAGAATTCTAGACAGTGACAAAAAGAAACCATCACAGCGGGGGTGGGGAGGGATCGGCTGATTATCAAATCTTTACTGATTGTAGATCAAGTTTCATAAAACATAACGTTTTTGTGATTTCTTGTGCAGTCAACAAGTTTTGTTTTAGTTGTGCTTACGTTATATAACTGTGAAGCCTGAACACTGGTTGTGTTTTTAATTTACACATTTCAAGAAAACCGTACATTCAAAATATTCTCCATATATAACAAATTCAAGAAACACAACACGAAATTCGCCAAGAAATTAATCTGTAGAAAAGAAACATCATTTTAAAAAGTTGCACACAGTCCACTATTCAGGCTGCGAGTACACATTTACTGTATTACAGCACATTATTTTTTTAAAGTTTGTTTCCAACATAAACATAAATCATCACATTTTAAAAGAGACCCATACTAAGTTTTCAGGTAAGTGCCGGACAGTTGGCCAGTAACAGCTACTTACCAGTGTCTTCCCCAGACCCAGAGGGACTGGACTGTCTGTGGAACTGTAGACGTTATGGAGTAAGCAAGGCAAAGTTAAACATCTCTGTTCAGCCATCGACTAAACACTTTTCTGCTCCAAGTGCCACCTATGTTTTGAAACACCCAACCCATAGAATGCAATTATCTCAGCAGACTGGTTTATCACTTCGATGTAATCCACAAAAACCTAGTATACCACCTTTTAAAACGTGCCTAAGCTCTGCTGAGATAGAGCCCATGGTTTTTGTGTACGGCAGAGGCTGGAAGACGATTTTGGTTCTGAGCTCTAGTTGTGCTTTGCCCTGCTGCCTTTAAGGTAGCTTTTCCACCTCTTGACAAATTCTTTGAAGATTGGGGACTCATCGATGGTGCTGAGTAGCTGCAGCTGATTGATGTGGGTGGTGTGGTAGTCCCAGCGGGCCAGGTTGGGGGCAATGCCAAGCATGAAGTGGCGGAGGTCATAGATGGTCCCTGAGCCAGTGTCATACAAGGGGAGCATGGCTTTAAGAGATTCCATGCCTCGCTCGTACAAGGACCTTGCTTCTTTCCCAAGTTTTTCCCCTGCAGTTTCTTTTAAGTCATACAGCCCAATTAAAGAATACATAAAGCCATTTAAAACGAAAGAGCTAGGTGTGGTTGGATATTCTTCATACCAGTCGTGTTTATTCATAAACACAGCCTTAACTCCATGCTGCTCTGACAGAAACTTGTAAGGGGCTGTTGCCCTTAAAGCTGAACTGAGGAATAAATGGTCTTTTGTCAACAGATAGGCCCTGACTAATGTAGAAATGGCTTGCCCTTGGGCCATGGCAGAGTACCACCCTGGCTCTAAAGACTTGAACCCCTCTCCTAACTTACGGGTCACCATAATTGGCCAGCCACCTTTCTCATCCTGGTTCCTTACCAGCCAATCACTGGCAGCAAAGAATGCGGCCATGTGGGCTGTGGTGGAGATGGTAATGTTGTCGAGGAATCCTTTCCCTTTTGCAATCAACCTAACCACCTTTTTGGGCATTATTTTGGTTGGCTTGACAGCTTTTGTGTTGGAAAGACCCACTCCTTTCCTGAGGTCAGTGACCAGGTCCCTTGTAACCGTGCTCCATGAAGTTCTAGGCCCAATGCCATAGTATATGTCTCTTTCTTTAAAAGCAATTAGTTGGGTATTTGAGACATAATGTACAGTGAAGAGCTGATTTTTTTCTGTGGTCTCTAGAACCACGGACACACTTCCATTTGTCAAGAACTTGAGGTCAAATGAAATAATAAAATCTTTTGTATTCCCCAGTTGCAAGGATACACCTTCACTGGTTTCTGTAGGGGAAAAACATACCAACAAAGGCTAGTTAAAAGAAAAGCTCTTTGTATTAAAAGTTAATTGCAATTCATCTTTGATAACCACTAGCCACACAAAATTAACACTTCAATATTTTGTGTCCTATCGTCATCATCATCATCATTTTACTAAAGTAACCATAAACAAATGATAGAATTGATGAGTCCATGATGGCTTTCAAGCATCAGGCCTAATTTACATTAGAGGGTTAAGAGCAAATGGATAAGGTACTGTTGATCAAACTGCCTTTTCTAGATCAAAAGCTAGCTGATCAATAATCAATGACTGTTCTAATATATCCATTTTATAAAAAGAAAAAAAAAATTGGCTCAGCACATTTTGTGAGAAGCTAGATTACACATGAATTAAATTTTTTATTTAATTAACATTTAGTAGATATTTACTATGTTCTAATTTATATATTATATTAGCTCACATTAACTCATTTATTCCTCATATTAACTCTATTTTAATCCTCATAACAATTACAAGAGTAGTGCTATTATTACTCTTACCCAATGGCTGACAAACTGAGACACAGGGAATTTAAGATACAAAATGCTGAACCTAGGTTGCCTAGTCTGGCTCCACAATACACACTTTTTTTTTTAAGTTTGTTTACTTTTTTTGTAATCTCTATACCCAAGGTGGGGCTCGAACTCCTGACTCCAAGATCAAGAGTTGCACACTCTCCCAACTGAGCCAGCCAGGCACCCCTCCACAATACACTCTTAATTACTAAATGATGCTGAAAATGATCGGTTTGTTTTCAGATATTTGCTGGAATTGTGAATAAAATTTCTGAAAATTAAGTAATGGGCTCAGGTAGTCAACAAGAAGTGATGGATACTGGGGGAGGATGAGGGAGAAGCACAGGCTTTGGAGTTAAAAAAAAAAAAAAAAAAAAAAAAAAAGCCCAAACCCCACAAAACCTTGTTTGAATTGTTTCTCTTCTACTTCCTAGCTTTGAGATGTTCAAGATGAAATAGCTCTTTGAACTTGTTTCTTCACATGTTAAATAGAGATAATATTACTTTGTAAGGTAATTGGGAGGATTAAAAAAAAGACAGTGGCTTAGAACAAAGTGAACATTGATAGCGATTATGATTATTATTATTATTCTGAAGCCATTGGCTTTCAGAGACTGATAAAATAGTAACAGCTGTTTTGCCTGGCAAATTACCAAATAGGAAATCTCTCTTGCGTATCTATAGTACAATGATGGTGGGTTCCCAGAAAGCTGACTTTCTGAATACTGCTGGTCTAGATATACCAAGAAAAGAAACAGAGCGTATTACAACCTATCAGCAGCAGCAGCAGCAAGAACAACAACAACAACAAATAGGTAGTGCATATTTTATATATAACCTTAAAGGTAAATATGCCTTGATCTCTATGAAACTTACATTTTCGAAACACATTCTCATGTGTTATCGCGAATGATCCTTACAATAATCTGAGGCTGGTAGAGCAGGAATTACTACTTCCATTTTAGAGATGAAGATATGGAAGCTTTGCAAGGTTAAAAGGTTTGCCCCAACTAGTGGTAGAGTAGGGACCAGAAACCAAGATTCCTGGACCCAAGTTCAAAGACTGTGTAAAGGAATGATACTGGATATGGCATTCTAATGAGCATAATCGGTGGAAGAGTTATTTCTCTTAAACATAGCCACAGAATCACATCCACTTTGAGTTCTCGAGGAAATCTTCAGTGTGTCACCAGGAGCAAGGACGAAATGTGGACTGATGACAGTGTATACAGTGTGATTAACTTGGAGAGTCTTAGCATGTTGAGTTGGCTGTTCAACTCCCCCAGCACTGGACTCTACAAGTGTGGGATATAATTGATCCAAGGTCCTTAATGATTCCATTTGATGGAACAATCATGGAAGTGGTATAAGGAATGAGAACATCTTGATAGATTTACACATCAAATGATGCTTTGAGTGACTTTTTAAAAAGTGATTTCAGAAGCATACTTCTAATAAAAATCCATTTTATCTGGAAAAATGTCAACATGCAATCTCTTAACTAGCATTTTCCTACATCTATGGTAAAATGGAATCTGACGCTCAATACAACATTTCTCAAACACTGCAGGATTCTGAATTGACTGATGAATCGCTCAAGTTTCAATTATATTCAGTAGAGAAGGCTATCTTGAGTGTTCCTTATTTTTTCATTCTTAGGGTAATGCCTCATTAATAAGGCAATATTACTAACCATGACATCCATTCTCACGAAACTGGGTAACAGTGATCCAGCTTTATTAGTCCAAATGGGAGGAAGCTGAACCTCTTTTCCTCCCAGAATTCCATTCTAATTCACTTTATGAATACAAATCTATGAAATGATATGGTCTCAATTACCTTATGTTTCACTATAACAGATTAGTTCAAAGAACTCAGTAATAAATTATGTCATGGGATATAACCTTTCAAAAAAACTATTTTCCTAAAACTCCATCACCACCAGAGGGGGTTACTGAGCCACACAGGAGAAGAGACAAAGTCCCAATTCCCGACATGAATCAACCAACAGACAATCGTAGTCTTCACAGCAATCCTGTAAGTCTTTTAATTTCCATTTTCTAGATATACAGAGTAGTTAAAGTAGTCAGCATTGCTCAGAAGGATCCAAATGGTAGCAAATGGGATGTGAGTGTGGTTGTGGCAACCACTTTGGAAATGCAGCGGGCAAGGTCTGAGCTCTACTGAAGGTATTATGCTATCTGGAGACCCCTGCTTTAAATCTATTAGTAGAAAGTTTTGGGTTTTCCATTTTTTGAAATCCATGACTCCTTTTCTCTCTGAGCAGTTAAACCTGGTAGTCACTACAAGTGTTTATTCTTGGCATATGTGGTAGTGTATATGTCCCTTTACGATAAACAAACATTTAAGGACAGTCTTTAAATCAATGTTTTCACCTGTAACACAAACCATTATTATTCATTCGTTTTAATCAACAGGTTTACTGGGTGCAGTAAGAAGTCCTCCTTACTCAGAACCTTGAGGAATACCAAGCAATAAGGGCCAGGCAAAAGAAGAGAAGCTCACAAGAAGTCTGAGAAAGAATGGCTACACAGAGATAGGGGAGAAAGTGAGGTCATGCAAATGAAGTGGAGAGAGTGCTTCCAGAAAGGGAAAGCTAATTTAATTTAATAGAGTACGACAGGTATAAAGTTTCAGTTCATTCAATTTTAAAATTAGGCAGAGGAACAAAACATTATTCAACAAACAAAAGAATAAAAATATGATGCAGACCCATGTTCTGGTTCTTTCTTCTAGACAACTTAATTTCCTTTCAGGGAAAACAATTCAAGACCCAAAAAGAAAAGAAAAAATAAAAGGCCAACAGCATTTGTCCCCTGGTCCTCCAGAGACTCACTTCATTGAGGCCTATGCTTTTATATACAGTTGCAATTTCTTCTCAACAGCGATTCTCTGAATTTCTCTCCCATGAAGTCTACATCCTCTGAAAAGCCTCATCTTCCCATATCTGTCTTCAATACAACAATCTCACCTCTTTGATTCCCTTCTCCTGCTCTGAGCAACAACTCCCATGTAATTCCAACTCACTTGCCCTCAAACACTTGGATCAAATGCACCTCTAGGCATGCCCAAGATATCAAAACAAGCACCCCATTCCCAGTTAGCACACTCCCACCAATAGTAGTTGTAGATGCAGCAGTTTTATCTCCATGGGCTGCAGAATGAAGAGGTAAAGTGAGGGTCCCTCACGTAGTATGAGCAGACTTATCTTTTGTATTACCAGGGCATCCAGAAGTGCACAATGAAATCTATTGCTTTAAATAGGATAGAGTTCAAAGAACTGTTCTAGAAAACTTGCCAGCATTTGAGGAGATCAAGATTAGGACTGCTGTTCTTCTATCCTAATCCAGACAACATTATTGATTAGTGCAAAAATAAGCTCCTTGGGTACAAACAAATGTCCTTTTGCAAAGTCTAATCATGTTCTGCTACAATAATCTCTGAGGTATCACAAGCTACATATTCTTAAACATCTCAACATACTTTCTCACCAGTCAAGCAAAGAGGTTCTATGTACTGGAATATCACAGAATACCATAGGAGAAAAGAAGTTCTAGTCACAGAATAAAAACTAAAGGTCACCCATTATTTGCACTGCATTAAGCACTCATAAATCTATTACTTAAGGCCATCTAGAATGAGTAGATTTGTATTGTGGCTTTCAAGGTCTGTGAATTACACGGTCATCAATAAAGGACAAGGAGAGAATACAGAAGAGGTCTTATAACCTTTTCTCTCATTTTATTTACCCACTGAAAGGTTGGGGGTGGGGCGGAAGGAGTTCTGTTCTTGACAACATTTCCCCATAGAGAATTAAGCCTGAGGTGCTAACTAAAATTATTTCATTGTCTTTTTAAGTAATGGACTCATTAATTCTCATGGATATTGATCAGTGGAGAAAAATATATTACAAGCTAATTAATGAGACTGTCTTACTAAAAGGGGAAATGTTGCATAAAGTTAATTTGATTTTATTAATGAAATGGTTTTATATGAAGTTTGAGACAATCTACTGCATTAACAAAACTCAATATGAGAAGCAGGCCTGGTTGCTAATGCTGTAATATCTTGAAAAAATAAAAAGCTGCTGGTAAAAAAACAGGCAAAGGAAAGGATGGCATGTCTATAAAGAATTTCTACCTTAAGGCAAAATAGTTTAAAAGTTAAAGAATTAAATACTGTACTGAAATACTAAAATGAACTAAGGAGCATCATTCCTATGGGACACAGATCCCCGGAAGGAGATCTAAATATTCAATCTATGGTTTGGCTTTTCACACGGTAAGTATTTTTTTTTATAACCTTGGATTTTTAGCTGTTCTTTTTCTAGGGATTTCACTTGGGTGACACCATTTGTTTCTTTATATAGATATAAAGGGTCTGCTAATGTGCTTTTTAAAACCATAAAAACAATTTTAAGGGAGTATCAGGTGCCATAAATCAACATAAAATTAGCAGGCACATATAATAATACCTCACTTACCTGGAGCAATGAACTGTTTAACATTGGTGAATCTAGACTTATCAGCCACACTAGCCATAAAGCACCCCTTTGGCACGGTCCAGTCATTAGGCTTGCTGTTTCTGTCCCTGTCTTCTGCTGTTTCATATACCTCTATGTGAGGGGGTTTCTCAGTTAGATTCTTGCTGTAATGACTTAACCCATACTGTGCAATCTGGATTGGGTAGAAATAGCCTTGAGGTCCCCACTGTGTAGATAAAGGTACACCTATAAAATAGAGAAACAAAATAAATAACCATGTCTGGACACTTACAAGTGTATTCTGAACACCACTCTTTACTGTTTTACCTCTGGGGCATGTTATAGGCTTATCTGCAACTTTTAAGCTTCTGTATTATACCGTTTTCATAATTACTTAAAAAAAAACTAGTACTAAATTAATCAGATATGAAAAACAAAATGAAGGTTTTTTTCACTCTCATTCAGTATCTGTTAACAGCAATGCAATGTTGTAGATTATCTTTTAAGGACTGACTTTTTACGTGTAACTTTTGCTCATAACTATAGATGTCCTGTTTCATAACCCTGTTTCATACATTCAAATTTTGTACAATTTAAATACACGTAGATAATGTTACCACAGGTTCATCCTAAAATATTAATTGTGAAATTTTCTTAAATGTTTGTATTAACATTCAAGTTAATTACATACTCCTCTCTCCAAAGTCAAGATGTGGTCTAATACATATACCATGTGATGGCTACAGTATTTGCTTAAGGAGCCAGTTATAACTAGGCAACTTAAAGTATAAACACAGCTTGCAATTCTTTTTCATATCCTTCATGTCAAAATATAATTCTTGAGAACAAGGTGTGTTTTTTTAATGAATTAAAATTGCACATTTAACCATAGATTTTTGACAGAATTCATTAATGGATTACCCCTTTAAGGTTCTAAGCAAAACTTTTAAATGTTTGGTATTAGTGTTTTAGTAATTTTCTATATGGGAAATACAATAATATTACATTGCACAGAATATTGTATTGTTGCATCATGGTCTGTGGGCTGAGAGATAAGCTCCTCTCTGTAGTTCTAAAATAAATCTACAAGCATCAGATAGGCACAGCAGAAGCTAAAACCTACAAAACCGTGTGTGTGGTGTAGTTTCAAAACAGTTTAAGGATTTAGGAACCATAAGGGCTAAGAAACCTAGGCTACAGATAAGCTCTTGACTTGTATTTTTTTCTCCAAGGGCAGGCTCCCCCCCCCACTCCATTCAAATAGAATTATTTTCACTTAATAAAAGGAAGGTTTATACAGGATCTCATTAAAGATGGGTGATAACTGTAACAATGTGCGACCGACCAGCATAAGAATCGACAGACTGATCAATGAACAAGAATAGTAGGCCAGAAACTTATTCTGCTATTCAAAATGGCTTAACGTAACGATAAAGACTGCATCATGAATCATTGGGGAAAAAAGATCATTCAATACATGTGAAAGGAAAAATCTGAAATTATACCCTGACCTTGTACCCTTTACCAAAATATAAATCAATCTGGCTAGCCTAAAGACTTGAATGTAAAAAAAACACAACCCTAATAAAACTACTAGAGAAAATACAGATGAATAGCCAATCATCATGTGGCAATGACTTTCTAAGCATAAAAGAAGTAAAAAAAAAAAAATTTAAAAAGTCTGTAAGTTCAGTAAATAAAACTAAAAACTACTAAAACTAACAAATCATAAGTAAAATGAAAGACAACCAAACTGAAGAAAATCTTTAACAAATGCAGCAAAGTATCATTATCCTTACTATAAATAGAAAAGTTCACATGAATATTTAAAGAACCCACTAATCACATTAGAAAAAGGGGAAATAAGATCAAGATTTTATGATGATTAGAAGCATATGAAAAGTGTATGTGGCCTCACTGATGGTTATAGAAAGCGAATGAGATCCCTTTGTAAACAACAGATTAAAAAAACAATGTTCCATGACAGCAAGAGTGGGGTGACAAGAGCACCCTTCCTGGAGGCACAAGTAGGTTCAACTTTTTTGGAAAGCAGTTTAGCAAAATAGATCAATTTATATTATTTGACACGGCAGTTTATAGATCAATTTATATTATTTGACACGGCAGTTTATTTCCTAGGAAACTACTCCTAGACTATAATTAAAATAGCAAATGATGAACTATGAATATCTATACCATTACATGTAAAAGCAAAAAACTGGAAATGACCTAAGTAGCCAACTAAAGAGAAAGGCTGCAAGTATTACACGTACCATGGCATATTCTTACTATGAATACTAGTCATTAAAATAGTCAATAAATATTCAATAACAAGGGGAAATAATCAAGATAGTTTAGATGAAAAAAGAATATAAATTGACCATACAGTATGATCCCAACTTGTTTAAAAAATGTGTCTCTACAACAACAAAAAGATTGGAAAAACATATCAAAATATTATTTAACAAAGGTTATGGGTACTTTTTACTTTTTCTTTAGCATCTAAACATCTTATGCATTTTATACAACATATAAACATTTTATACATTTTATAAAATTTATGTGAAAAGGTTTGGTGATGGCTAAGTATAGTATATAAGTATTACAATGTTGTATAAGTATCATTTCAACTATGTTAAGACATAGGCCTACATACAAAGACGTGCAGAGAATATACAAAAATGGTAATAATTATCTTGAAGTGGTATGAATATAAGTGAATTTGGCCCTTCCTTCTTGTGACCATTTGGTAGAGATATTATAAAAAACTTAAAATATTAAGATATTGAAATCACTTTTTATAGAATGAGGAAAATAAAATAAAATTTAAACTAAGCAATCTTAAAATACACTAAGCTCTTTCCTTTGGTTAAATGATATATTTTAAAGTCAAATTCAATTTGGCTTTCTGATCAATCTTAGGTTTGAAATACAAATTCTAAAATGTACTTATTATACCCGTAAGATTTGAATGACAATATATAATAGACTATAGGAGTGTAGTATAAAAGGTCAGAGAAAATGGTGCCTATGTGTTATCTTGTTCTGAGGACTTTAAACCTCCATCCAGAAATGATACTTGGCTAATGTGGTAACAAGATTGCATTGGTACACAATCCAATTGGTCCACTGGTCTCTCCCGTTCCCATCTCCTCTCATAGGACAATAACTATATTTTAATGCAAAATTTTTGGAGATGCTGTGCCTTTAACCTTACCGATGAGAATTTCAGATGCTGAGGCAGGTTAATGAAATAATCCTATTTGATCAGGCATGATCTTCTTGCAGCCCTTAAATCACATCATCCAGAAAACTGCCCCAGGTTCAGACTTCACCTGTTCCTTCTTGCTAAGTCAGAGTGACAAATGGTCTCTTGATAGTAAGCTATGTATGTACTTGCTAGATAATTAACACCTACAACTTGTTACTCCTCAACACAATCAGGATAGAAAAATGCAGTGGAGCAGGCAGATACCAACCTTCAACCCCACTTATGCACTTGACTCTGTCCCGGACTTCCACATTGTAGCCTTCAAAGGACATAAACACACCATCAGGGTGATACGGGGCTCTCTGTGCATAGACTCTGGAATAGCTATGAGAGAATTCAAACCGATCATAGCCATCATATTGAACCACCTTTCCATATACATCAAAATATTTCTCTACCCAAGTGAATGGAAGAAAGACTTCATTTCCCTCTCGTCTCCCTTTAATTGTGTGTTCATCATTTATGAGACAGTCAATTTCTTCATATTTGAGCCCTAACACCTTGCTTCCCCCATTGCTGTTGAAGCTCCCAACAACAGGGGGTGCTTTCTGCTGTTCCTGAGGGAATGCCTCCTCAGACTGTTTGGCCATGTGGTTCACATAGTTGTTACTCTCAGATGCTGCTGCTCTTTTTTCTAATCCATCCACTCTGAAGCCACTACTCAAGTGCCGTGGAAACTGGATCGCTTTATCGCTGGAACATTTATTCCACAAAAGTACTGTGACCAAAGTGAAGAGTGTGCAGATGATAATCAGAGTCTTATAGTTGACCCGAGCTGCCAAGCAACGCATATTCAGACCATACCTATGGAGGCAAGAAGAAAAATTCATGCAAAGATGTATTGCAGACATTTCATAGGATAAGGTTTTATTTTTTTTATATTGAACCACACTAAGGCAATTTTATTCACTGTAGCAATCTGATCAGATTTAAAATTACTAACTCAAACTTTTCGGCAGAGACAAAGAAAAGGCAAGAGGAGCTTCCCCCTCTTAAAATACTTAGTGTGACCCTTTAAAACAGATATTCTCAAACTTTCTGTTTGTGACTCTCTTGGTGTCTTAGTAATTGTTTCAAAGTCTCTGGGCCAAAAGAAATACCTAACAGTTTCATTTATTAAGTAGTTGGGTCCAAACAACTTAATGCATTATTTTTGTTCCAACAAGTTAGCTGTTTGAAAAAACATAATGGGTATTGTTATGGTAAACACTGACATCCGTGTTGCCAAATCCAACCGTGAATTTTTAGTGCTCATCCTACTTGACTTCTCAGCAGCATAAATAGTCAATGACTCTTTCCTACTGGAAACACTCTTCTCATGGCTTCCAGGGCACCATCTTCTTGTAGTTCTCCTTATACGTCACTGGCTACTCCTCCTCAGTCATCTCTGATCATTCTTTCTCATCCCCCTGACCCTGAAGTGTTAGTGTGCCTTAGAGTCTCGGTCCTCACACCTCTTTATCTCTATTCACTCCTAGGTGATCTCACCCACTCTCATGGCTTTAAATACACTTTATACGCTGACTACTTCCAAAATTCCATCTCTAAGCCAGACCTTTCTTCGGAACTGCAGACACACATATTTAAGTGCCAATACAAAAAGTTGACATCTTTACTTGGAGGTCAAATAGACTTCTGAAACATCCAAAACAACTCCGTCTTTCCCCCCATCCTGTTTCTCTTTTCCTACTGCTCAGACCAGAAACCTCTACTCCTTTTCTGCTCACCCCATATCCGATCAGTCAGGAAATGTTGTTGGCTCTACCTTCAAATTATACCCAGAATCTGACCTCTTTCCCCCAACTCCACTATTACCACCACATCCAAGCCACTGTCATCTTTTACTTGGAATACTGCAGTGATGTCCAAACTGGTCTCCTTATTTCTACCCTTGCTCTACTATTCTACCCCCAAGTCTATTTTCAACAATAGCCAGTAGAATGATGCTTTTAAATATAAGCCAGATCATGTCACTCCAATCAAGATGAGAGAAGAATCTGATGCTGTTGCCCCTGCTGGCCATATGGTGTATCAGCCAGTTGTGACTGCAATTAAAAAGTAGTCCTGAATTGCCTGTTGTTGAGGTCACTGGGCTATGGAAAATTATGGAATTAGTCTCCTTACTGTTTGCTACAATAGCTCTATAATTTATTTTATGGTATAAATCCACAACTACTTACTTTACCGTTTATAATTCTTTATCCCCTTTTTTTCTCTCAATAAACCCTTTTGGCAGCAATGAGATTTTTTAAAAAATCAAACCCCAAAATGAAAATGTTTCGTGAAATATTACACAATAATTTTCTATTTAAGAAAGCTGATGGTGAAAGTGTAATTCCTTAGATCGATCTATCTATCTATCTATCTATCTATCTATCTATCTATAAGTAAGCTTTACACCCAATGTGGGGCTTGAACTCATGACCCCAAGATCAAGAGCTGCATGCTCTACAGACTGAGCCAGCCAGGTGCCGCTCACTCATTTAATTCCAAAAGAAGGTACCTTTGAATTCTCGTATGTCTAAAAAAGACCTCAGTCTGCTCTTACCTTTGATTAACAGTTTGGTAAGATACAGAATCCCCGGTTATACATTATTTTCTTTTGAAAAGTTGTAGGTAATGTTTTATTGTCTTAAAGCATTAAGAGAATTACTGATGACAGATTTGAATTTCAGTGTGATACTTGTCACTTTGTACATGGCTTTCCTCTGGATCTTTTGTCCTTGGAATTCAGCTTCCCAAGAAAGTAGTACATTATGATATTTGATTCACTATTTCAGCACTTGCTGTGCCCTTTTGACCTGAAAACCTGTGTTCTCTTATTCTTGTTTAATGGGTATAGTATCTTCCTGCAGCCCTGAGTACATCAGAGTTCATTTCTTGATGAGTTCTCTCTGATTAGTTCCATTTTCTCCAGTAGCAATTTTTCTGATTATCTTAGTCTCTCTTTCATACCATCCATTTTCCTCACATTCCTGGTGATCTTGGTTGCTCATTAGTATTTACATCTGAATGACTCATTAGCCAACACAGATTTCCTCTACCATTGTGGAGATGGTCTGATTTTTGGCTAGACTGCTCTCCTGAGGAGGACTCTGTGTGGGGTAGGTACAGGCTGACTGGCAGTATTCCTTTAGGGTGCATGGGTAGGGAGCCAGCAGGCCCTCTAAATGCCAGAATGATGGGAGTTTTTCTTTTGTTCTGGAGAGATAACTCGTACTCTAGAAGCCTTAGCTTTTCCCAGTTTCTCTAAAGGAAGTCTGTTTGACGTTTTGCTTCAGGTTCATGCCTGCTATCAACAGTCCAAGTGCAGGGATAAGAGCAGTATAGGGAGATGAGAGGGTAGAGCTATGCCTTCTAGTACTTGAACAGAGATCCAGAAATCTGTTCAGTTATCACTCTTTCGTAGTCTTCCTACTTATTGTTATTGGTTTCTTCATTTCTTATTTCTATACATTTTATTTCAGTAGGGCATCAGGAGGGAAAAAGGCAAAGACAGGGTTTGGTCCGTCTTGGAAATCTTACACAGATTTAAGAACCAGAATCCAGTAACACTTTTATCATTTGCATTATGATTATGAGAAAATGTTCTGAATACTAGAAAAACCAAAGCATGGTAGAAGGAAACCTTCAGAAGTCATACATTTATAAAGGATTTCCTTATACTGTAGGTACAGGCAAACCGATAACACTAAATGGTGTTTATTAAAAAAGCAATCCTTCTTTTAAGCAGTCCTTAAAAACATTTATGTGCTAACATTTGAATCATTTGTCAGCTATAACTAACATTTAGAGCAATTAAAATGGAAATATAAAGATTTTGTCTCATCTTTGAGAAGTGCCCTTCCTCCATGACTCAAATGAGAGTAAACCTGCTTATGGAACTAGACTACCATTACGATGAGACACATGATGGGAAAGTAAAGAAAAATGAAAATAAAAAACTTTCATTAACCTTTATGCCCAGATTTTGTTATCTGATACCACTCCTTACTAAAAGCAATGACGGCTTCTTAGAGAAATGGATTTCAAGTCTAGGGCCTTGTTATGCCAGAAAATAAAGAAAATTTTCAAATATTGATGAGATCATAATCCAGTGGATCAAAAAAGCAATAAGATATAGAGAAAATGAGGTTGGACACACTGGTTATTGCTGAAGCTGAAAGGTATGTTGAAGGTTCACTATATTATTCTCTATACTTTTGTTTGTTTGAACATTTCCATAATTAAAAACATAGTTATCATAGCAAAAAGACACAAGAATCAGCCTGAAAGGTCTTTTTCCCCATAAGTCAAAGTTGCAAGAATTATGCCTGATGTTGACTGAAACACACTGAAACCATAAAAATCCATGAGTCTACAATGATACTCAAAAAAGAGAAAGCCAGAAAAGCAAATCAAAACAAAACAAAACAAAAACCAACCTTATGTCATCTTCTGACTGAGCTGGTTAAAACTGGTAACTAAGTGAAATTATCTATCTGGCCTTTGCAAGAGAACAAACCAATAGCCCCAGATGATAAAGAATTCTGTTACAGAAAAAGGATGGCTAATGATGTAGAAGAAAAATTCTAAATATATCAGAAAATTAGCAAAAATTAGCATTAGTATTATATTCAGGTATATGTTTGATATGGACCTTGAGATTCATACTGTGCAAAGTAACACCAAATACATTATTTTCTAGTAGCAAGATAAATAAGCTGAAACTCTACAATGAAGGGATCAGATTCATTACCCTAATCCAGTGCTCAAATACAGTCTCAATGGTGACTCATCCAGATACCTTTTTTTTGATGAGTTAAAATAAAAAGTAAGTAACCTATCATATATCCCAGCCAAAAATGTTTAATATGGATCCCTGAGGCATTACAATTTGACTTTTAATTAATAGGAAATATAAGAGATAGAGGAACAAGTTAAATGCAGATGCAACCAGACACATCTTTTTCTTTTTTTAAGATTTATTTATTTATTTGAGAGAAGGAGTGAGCAAGCATGCACGTGAGTGGGGGGAGGGGCAGAAGGAAAGGGAGAGAGAATCCTTAAGCAGACTCCCACTGAGCATGGAGCTGGATGCGGAGCTCCATCCCAGGACCCTGAGATCATGACCTGAGCCAAAACCAAGAGCTGGCTGCTTAACTGACTGAGCCACCTAGGTATCCCTCAACCAGACACATCTAGAAGGCAAGACATCCTGCAGGAGAGCTGGCCCTGTCCCCTCAATAAGTTAGTGGTATGAAAAGAAGAAGGGTACTAGGTCAGATTTTTTTCCCAAAAAGACTTATTAGGGCATATGACAACCAGATGTGAGACTTGGTCCTCCACTGGGAAATCTGACTGTGGATTTGAAGACAGAAAGACATAGAGAGACTGTTAACTGAAAAAAGGAGGCACAAAACACACATGGAATCATCTCACTTTAGTAAAACAACGCACACAGAGGTCTTTATTTTCTCATTTCCCATATCTACTGGGTTTTTAAAAATCATTAAAAGAGAAAATTAGGTCAAAGTCACTTTTGTTAAAATATTACAGGAAAGGTAAATTTTAAGTTTAAAAATGTCTATAGGTATTTAGTTTTCAAAATATGGGAGAAAGGAGGATGGAAAAAAAAAAGAAAACTCTGAGTATTGACATGTACTATTAACTACCAAATAGGTTTATCTAAAGGTAAACATGATAATTTTATTATAATGTTGCTCAAATTATAGAAAACTAACCAGAAACTTTAAAATTTCAGAAAGTAGACTGTACTGACATTTTGCTAGTACAATAACAACAGGACCTTTAACAGACCAAAC